TGTGCTAGCTGGGGGTGCGCTGGCTGGGGGTGCACCAGCATTAAAATTTGCTGCCCACTAGAAAGTGAAGGTAAAGTTTGCTGACTGGGTGTTGTGAGGTTGCGGTGGTAAAATATTTTGCCGGCTAAATTTGCTGCCGCTTAATAACAGAACGACAGATTCCTGGGCCATTTATGTTTGTACACAAAGCAGGAAACCCATAACAATGGAGTTCAGACCTCAACGCTACTGAGGCAACATGCTACCTGCTTAAACTTAATTGCTGTACTAAAGCATATATAACTATATAAACAGTATGCTAACTTAACTTTCAATGAATAAACGTGCGATATGGTGGCTCAGTGGGTAGCACAGTTGCATCCAGGATTGGGGGATTATGAATTCTACCTCTGCTGTGTGTGTGTGTATGTGTATGTGTGTGTGTGTGTGTGTGTGTGTGGAGTTTGACAGGTTCTCCCTATGGGGCAGTAGGTTTCCTCTGGGTGCTCCACTCATATAAAGACATACAGGCTAATTGGCATCTCTAAGTTTCCCATGATGTGTGAGTGTGTTTCCTGCGATGGACTGACTTTCTGTGCATGGTGTACGCCAGCTTTGTGCCCTAAATTTCCTGGGTGAGGCTCCAGCCCCCTCCACGACCCTGATCAGGATAAATAGTAGATGGATGGATGGATGGATAGATAGATATATTAGGCATTGTATTTCTTTCTAGCTTAGCTCATCGGTTATTGACTAATTTGCTTAATGACCTAGTCATAGGAACAGAACTTGTTTGTTAAGTAGTGTCAGTAATTGAATTTCTGCTTTGCTTTTTTTATCTCAACCGTTGATGTTTCTCTACACTTCAGGGTGTCAGGTGGTCCATGAGAAAGCACCTCTGGTGAAAGCGATACTACTAGCAGGTCCAGCTGGCGTTGGAAAGAAAATGTTGGTCCATGCCATCTGCCAGGAAACAGGGGCCAACCTCTTTGACCTCTCCCCTCTAAACCTTGCGGGGAAGTATCCAGGCAAGAATGGACTGCAAATGATGCTCCACGTGGTTTTCAAGGTAGTAGTAGTAATAATAATAATAATTAGGGATGTAATGATACCACAAATTCACGGTACGATATCGCGATAAAATGTTCACGATACAATAATTATCACAATATTAAACAAGAAAAAAACTCTTAATAATTAATAATCAACATGTTTATTTATAACATGTTTATTTATATCAAATTAGTTCTTCCTTTTAACATAAAGTGCTTCTGCTTTTCATTATTAGTGAAATATCCAGCTATGACCTTAAGCCTTTGCCAGAACTTAGCAGTAATTGTCCTTTGCAATGAATGGCTCAACAATGCATAGGCCACGCCCATACATACTAACACGCTAAATAAAGCGTGAAAACAGTGCACATGTAACACTTATGAACCTATTTTGGGTCCACTTAGTAGTGCTACTGGCCAGTTCTAGGTTTGATGGGAGTGGTGGGGGAAAAGATAATGACACCTCAAAATTTTGAACAGCAACCTTTAGTAAATATTAATTGTAGAACATAAAAAATCGTGAATGCATTTACATACATTTACATTTAAATAGAAAAAGTAAATCTACCTCTTTATAAAATTATAGATTTAAATATTGTTTGTTTTGGGTTCTGAGTCCAGAAGTTAAATCAGTTATTCCTAGTTAATCCTAAATCTATATCTAGTTATATCCTAGTTCAGTTTTGCTGATTTTTAACTGCGCACAGATCGTATAAAATAATTATTTTGTATCTATTAATAATCACCTAATAATTCCTTATTTAAATTCTCTATCCAGTATCTTTATCACCTATTTATCTTTCCTTTAAATCAGTAACCTCCCCCCACATATCAAGCTCAAAATTCAACACGTATAAAGGGAGAGAAAATCTCACATCGTATACCATTCAGGCATAACAATATCCAAGGGTTGATATACTGTTCAATTCAGGCATAATAATGTCCAAAGGTTAATATACAGTTCAATTCAGTCCATCATATCCGAACTGCACACGTTGTAAGAAATTCAAAGTTCCCTCTACTCATCCTTCACCGTTGCTCCATGGGTCCAGCTCAACATCCAGCTATGAGCTCCGTTCGGTGGGTCCCTGTTCGGCGAAGCACATGCATGAATATCCATTCCAAATCTTCAGAAGTGTCATTGTAGCTCAGAAAAAAAACAATTTATCGTGGTTTAAAACATTTCTTCCATCTTCCTTTTCCTTTAGTTAATTAAAAAAAAAAACCTGTTACAACACATAAACTGTAAAATCAAATTTATCAAGTTTTCTTTTTACCGTATCCTAAATGCTATGCCAGCACTCACTGCAGCTAGCCTCAAACGCTTCTGCAGAAAAACTACCCGCGCTCTCCAAGTTACTTTGTGACATCACCTCACAATCTGCATACAATCGTCTTTTTTCTTAAAGAGATAAATTATCGTTTAGTACGGAGCCCCTCTGGTGACATAGGAGTAAATGTATATTGTGTGGCCACGAGATAATTAAGTGCAGGTGGCCATGAGATAAAACGCGTGGCCACGAGATTTCCGAATGCCTGGAAACACATGGACAACTTCGAGAGTGGATAAAAGTAAGTATAATTTTATAAATAAATTATAATTTTTTTTAATTGATAACATAATTGTGAGAAGATACATGTTAACTTCCTAAAGGCGTTATTGACAAATGCATTAGACCAGCATACAACATCCCGGAAATGTAACTCGTTCTCACGTTTTAAGGCCAGGCAATATATATTTTTTTCTCCTATGTCACTAGAGGGGCTCCGTAGTTTTGTAATGGATTTACTTACCTATGTGGGTTACACACGGCCATTAGAGCACAAAGCATTTGTTAGTGTAGTACAGTATGTATTTTTTTGAGATGGAGCTTATATGAGCGAAATAACAATGTGATATCGTGGTTGATATCGTAACAGTCCAACAACGGTGTCGAGGTATTTTTTTTTATCGTGGATATCACCTTTATCCTTACATCCCTAATAATAATAATTGATACCAAGCCACATTCTTCATGATATGAGGTTCCATCAAAACATGTTATCTTGAAAAAATGTTTATCTCAGTTTTAGTACTACATCCCTGAGGTTTCTTTGTTGATCATAGGTTGCTAAGCAGTTGCATCCTTCAGTTATTTGGATTGGAGATGCTGAGAAGATGTTTTATAAGAAGGTCCCCAAAGAGGAAAAGGAGGTACTGTAATGATCTTTTAGGCTGCACTTACACAGATTCAGATTAACAAAGCACAGCATATACACATGAAAATATGCATTATTGCAAAACAGATTCATTTAGCCTGGGGAAACACTCCTGAGTTTCAGGGTTAAGGAACATTTTGAAGTGTGTATATTGAGGATGACTGGATATTATTCTCCTCTGTGCAGTTAGACCCAAGGCGTCTAAAGAAAGATCTGCCTAAGATGCTGAAGTCTATCAAAGGTGGAGACCGTGTTCTCATTGTGGGTACAACACAAGACCCAGGGAGTGCAGACCTCAAATCGCTCTGCAAGGTGTACAGCAAGATCATCCTCATTCCACGACCGGATTATGCTTCAAGATATGGTGAGACAGTAGATAATTTATTGTTTTGCACCGTTCATTAAACTCCATTCATTAGATGCAAAAACGTTTCATATTTTAAATAACTGCATATGCATTATGAAAATGAATACCACAGAATACCAATTGATTTGCTGCCAGAACTGTGTATCCTGACATGATGGGTAACATGGGCTTTAATTCTGGTTCTGGTAAAATCTTTCTTTTTAAACGTTATATGGCTGTTATATGTTAAAAAATACTTTCTGTGGGTCACAATGCACGTTTGCTACTGTGCTGTGTCACTGAATTAATTGCAGTTACCGTGCCTCTAATTATAAATGCTTAAATCCTAGTTATGTGGAGAGAGCTGATTAAGAAGGCTGGTGGTGAGGTGACTGACTCATTGGATCTGAGCTGTCTGGCCAAAATCTCAGACGGCTACACTCAGGGTCACATGGTGCAGGTGGTCCGGGCGATTCTGACGGAGCACCGCCTCCAGCAGCTGGCCAAAAGACCCCTAACAGCAGCGGAGTTTGTGTCCCCGCTGGCTAAGACTGACCCCATCTTCCATGATGAGGAAGAGGCTCTAAAAGTAAAATACTTAACAAATACAATGTATCCTGCTAGCGTGCCCTGACTTCTGAAAGCAGTAATGACTGGAATCTTATGCTTCCAATCTTATCCCTGCAGCACTGGTACGCGAAGACTCCTCTGGGCAAGAAGCGGGCAAAGGCTGCCTCGGAAAAAGATGAAGAGGAGGCACCAGTTAAAAGTGGGAAAAAGTCAGCGGAAAACACCAAGAAGAAATAAAGAAAAAGATTAGGGAAGAAAATGTCTTCTTTTCATTATATCCTTGAATGTCACCAATGTGGTGAATATCGGTAATAGAACAGCATAGTGGTACAACCTCCTGTCGCTCTGGCATCAGTCTCTGCACGGCCGCTGTGATTGCATGTCCTGAAGTACACACCATCCACCGAGGCAAGGCTGACTGGATCCCTCCAAGAAGACGTCTGTTAAGGATTTTGTATTTGTGTCCACCGTATTGCCACCAGTTTACCGCATATCTCCACAATATATTTGTGTACCAATAAATGTTTGTCTTGCAGCGTCATAAATTGTCTCCTCTCCTTTGTGTTAGGGCCTGACCCTAGACGTGGTCATAACAATAGATTAAAGGTAAGGGTCAGTCCAAGGCAAAAATAAAAGTGGTTGCTGAGGGCACATCCTGATTTTCCAGAATACAGCGCATCCCTGGGTCAACAATAGCTTGCATTTCAGTCCTCTAAACAATCACAGTCTTCATGTGTATGACATCATCACAATAGTGAAAGACAGTGTTTTCTGTTAAGTGGCAGGGTGCATAGATTTGTTAAGTACCTGTGTTATTGTGTATGCTTTTTGTTAAGGGTCATGGATACAAAACATGGGAACATAATTGTTTGCAAAAGGCTGTACGGAGCAATGTACGGGTGTGTATTTCATGGTTAGAGTAATAAGGATAAGCTGGGGGTTAAGAACCTTGCTGAAAAGCCCATGAACATGTAATTATCCAGCTGGTGCTTGAGCCAGTGACCTCCTTGTGTTCACTCCTGGAGACCTCCTGGGTGCGTTCGGTAATAAGAGAACCCGATTCCACCATCTCCTAAGCAGAAGCGATTTTTATTCCACAAGCTGCATCATGCTGCCGAACTGTATTTAAAAGTGCATTATTTTGACTCCACATCCCACATTTCCAAATCACATGGCACCAATAAAAAAACTAGTTACATGAAAAGTTTTTTTTGTCCTGCAACTGATTTCCTAGAAAACGTAAACAGACAAAAATTTAACAAAAAGTACTTTGCTCAAATTGCTGATGATAGTGCTGAATTCAGCTGTTTAATTTATTTTGATGTACAATCCAATATATATATATATATAAAATATAGATAAAATATAAAATACAGTAAACTTTGTTTAGCAGGGCTGAGTCTATTGTCATTTCATTTGTCATAGGCTCAGACAGTGAAGTTAAATATCATCAATCAGTTCGCTTTCTGATCTTTGGGGATATTGATTCTGGGTTTAATGACAAATGGACCCCAAACATAAATGCGCTTTCCCCCCCCCTAAGACGATGCGTATCTGCTGCCCTCCTCTTCATAGGCAATGGCGATTCCTCTCCTTCCCTCCACTGCCTTCACCACTGGCGTTTCTCCCAGTTTCTGATCCAGCCCCTGCCAACTCCGGCCAGATAAGAACGAGGCTGCAACAGAAAAGAGAAAAAAACTAACAATTCATTAATCCAGACCAGCAAGCTTTTAAGTTTTACTTAGACAACTTGAGTCAATGCAAGATGTAGAGTTGTGTTCATTTTTGAAAATCAAATTGAAAAATAATCTCTCTATTTTACTTCAAGGGAATGTCAGAAGGTGGTGTGGTGGCTCAGGAGCTCGTCCTGCGGCTTACAGCCTCCCGGGTGTCATTCCTCTGTGGCGTCTGTGTGCAGTTTGCTCCCAGTGCCCAAGTGTCACTCTATGTCTGTTTCATACTACAGGCATAAATGTTGCTGCAGTTCAACTGAACTGAAATCAGCTGGATTGATCAAATGTGACATTTTAACTCCCACAAACCTGCTGTGTTAGCATGTGCCAGCATCAGGGTTTGGTTCTTCTGTACCACAGCTGATCCAGGCACAGCGTCCTTTGGCTCCAGGGAGGAGAAGCCAGAAGATCGTAGAGCTCCAGTGATGAGCGACACATCAGTTGTCTCACCGTCGTCTTCATTGGAATCACTGCAATCTATATGACTGCAAGCCCCTACAACAAACCAAAGTGGTTCAAAATATTTCATTATATTCAGCCACTGGTGATATAAAAAAAAAAAAAAATCTTTTCCACTTGTACAAATATGTATGGAAGGCCGTTTCCGGCAGAAGAAAAAAAAAAGTTTGCTTAATAGCGACTATTTTTCAGAATTCGTACTCTCTCAAGTGCAGCATTATTTCTTGGAATTCCGACTTACTTTCATGCAATTCAAACTTTATTTCTTGTAATTCTGAGTTCTTTTCTATCAACTAAAAGTAGCTGGAGCCATCACTTCTGCTCCCTCTTTAATGGTTGCAATGAACGTACTGAAACAGACAGGAGCGAAGTCACGGGCAAACACTGCCACCTTAAGAATAACTGAATAACTCGAACCAAAGCAACGAAGGCAGTGCTATTGCCACCGTGTTTTACTGCTTTCCAAATTAACGTGAAATCCAAATTAACCTGCCAGTGGATGACATTATGTGAGTAACGCATTTTTGGGATATATTCCTAAACGGTATCCTGCGGAGGAGGTGACACTGACGAGAAAAAGCCATAATTGCAAGAAAGTTGGAATCCTGAGAAATTAAGCAAACTTTGTTTTATCAATGTGGAGGAAATGGACTTTCATAAGTATAAGAACAGGAAACAGGAATGTGTTTTTTTGCACATCCCATCAAACTCCGCTTTAATAACTTAAACTCCTGGCTTAAAAAAAAAAAAAAAACGTGCCAAAGCTTTATGTTGCATTAAATTTGTTTGGTTCATTTTTTTGCCCAGGAGTGTGAACATATACAGAGGTGAGAGTGAAGCCTGAGGTCTGAGCTCAGGGTCTGTGATCTATCTTGCATCCCTGGAGCATTTTTTAGGGGGGGGGTTAAGGGCCTTGCACAAGGGCCCGACACAAATGTGATTACTCTGCCAAGCAAGGGATTCAAACCAGTGACCTTGCGATCACAGACACAGAGACCTAACCTTACTTACCAGGCAACAGATCCTGAAAGTCGATTATGTAATCCCCTGTCCACTCTCTCTGGTTGTTGCAGGCAATCTCCATTTCGAAGGGTGTCACCACTGGGCGATAGAATTCGCTGGAATCCAACAAGGAGTTCTCTGGGCAAGCAACTAGCACAAATATGTCAATCTCCAGGAAGTTTGCCAGCTTAGCAACATTCAGTTTGCCCATGGCAAACAGGTAGCTCTTCTTACCAGCTTTGTGAATTATTTTTTTCAGCTGGTCAATAATACTTAGGTAGTTAGCCACACCAAGCGTGCCAACCAGAATGCCTACAATGCTGGCGTCCTTTGCTTTTTCAATCAGGTAGTATCGCTTCATCAAAGCCCTGTTAATGTTGATTGTCTCAAACCTCCCTACCATTGTCTCGGGGTCAAATGAGCAGAAAGAGCACTTGTTCCAGGTCATCATAAAGTTTGTTAGGGTGACACCCTCTTGCCCCACATAAAAAATGCTGTAGTCCTCAATACTGCATCCTTCCTTTAGGATAAACTGTCGGCCATATTTATGAACAAGCCTGTCACCGTATAGGGCTAATTCAGCTTCGGTGTGTCCAGTGTCTTTGGCTTGTTGAAGTATCTGTCCATAACTTTTGCAGACCACACCATCCACATTTAGGACTGAAGTGATCACATTTACATATTCAGGCTGCAGGAGCTTCAAAAGATCATCTGAAGATAAACATAAAAATAAAAAGTTAAATAAAAGTAACAATTACCAGACCAGATTATGAGACACACACTAAAGTGGTTAAATTAAATGAAATGGGTTAAATTTAGTGAATGAATTGTACAGCTAACACTCATCTATCTTTATTATATGCTTTACCTATGATGTGAGAATAGACGACATCATAGAGGACAACCACGTGGCTTTGATGGTCAGGGTAAAGCTCTTGGAAAGCGGTGGCACATTTGGATAGGTCAATGGGCCTCTTTCCAAACACATACATGAGGGGCAGCCTTCGCGACGGACTGAGACAGGCCCGTCCGTAATGCACAATGCACTGAGCCCCAGCATGCTCTGCGGCGACCTCGTCCACACAGCAGCTGCAAAAACACATACACCACTCAGTATATTAGCTCCATCCTTCCTATAAACTCTAAGACAGTGTTTCTCAACTGGTGGGTTATGACTTCCGTCGTGAATTTGGGTCACGATTTAATGACCAAGGAATAATATGGGTCCTGAGATTAAATTGGTTGAAAGCCACTGCTCTAATACCACGTTTCCACCAACACGTAGCCGTTACTGGGCTGGTTCTCGCTTGGTGCCTTTTGAGAACCTGTCTGCGTTTCCACTGGTTTCAAAAATGAACTGAATGGAAATATTACATAGGCAGATATGAGAGTAAAGGTTCATATGAATACTGTTTATTTATTTATTTAGGTCTGTTTTGTATTAAGTTTTTACAAGCTGTCGAACCAAAAGAAGTGACACTTTAATTCTCATAGTTTTCAGAGCATGACTTGTTCTGTCTCTATTGCCTGTATAAACTTTTGTCTCCTTTAAGGCAGTATTTCTCCCCAGTGTGTGTGTATCTGAGTTTATTCACGCTTGCTGGCTGCCATCAGGGCATATAGCTGGGCCTTAGGCTGAGCCAGTCAGCCAGTCACCAGCCCGCAGACTGCAACAATACTCACGTTCCCTTCTTTTATCCAACCATTTAATTATTTATTGCTCATTGCACAGGGAACCTGTACTACAAATTTTGCATTGTTGTGGTCCGTACACATCCATTCTGCATTTATGGTTTCTTATTATTACACAGGACTCTTTGCACATTACAGTTTTTTGCATATTTACAGAATTATCATTCTGTATACACAGTAAGATTTACTTTCTACTTTTTTATTTTAATTACCAATTTCTATTTTTTATTTTCAAATTGATATAAGTATACCAGTGACTGTTTGTGTCCCGTTGTCTGCTCCTGCTGTAATGCCTGAATTTCCTGGATTGATTGACTGACTGATTAATTGAGAATGAAAGAAAGTATACATCCATCCATACACCTATCCATTCTGACATTACATTTCAATATAACATATAATATATACCATGTTTACCTGCCATAGGAAGTGTCTCCAAGAATATATAGCTTTGCACCAGTAGTTTCCTGAAGTCTGGATGCTATTTTAATGGAATCCACTAACAAATTGTCTGGGAACTGCAGTGCTACCTAAGAAACAACACCACATATGTTAAAAAACTTTACATTTCAACTAAAGTCTTTGCACATAAAATGCAGTTACAGTGAAGAATGTGTGAAGAATACACAGAAAAAATAATGTTTATATGAATGAATATCAGCATATGAGTGACCGGCGTCCAAGAACCAGGGGCTGCACAGCTGTTGGAAGAGTTTGACTGCTTCTAAACACTTCTAGTGAGTACCCCTTAGCCTACCGCACGTTTCTACTGAAAGTTTGCTCCACTGGTGACTGGAAAGTCCTTTATTTCTCCAATATTAGAACTAGAATGTAGTTCATATAACTAGAATTGGCTCCACTGCTGATTGATATCATACCATAGGTTTTCAATAGATTTTAGATGAGTACTAATTACCGGCTCCTTAAAAACAACACAGTACAGTCAAATAGAATACATTGCAGTCAAATGGAGTTTTGCTAACAATTGCATATCCCTCGATTGTGAAAGTGGCTGGCAAAAAAGTTATCCTAAGACTTCTGTAGTCCAGACTCACTTTATGGAAATTGTTCTCCCGGATGAAATCACAGGTCTCCTTAATCTGATAGCTTTCTTCAAGGCTCTTTGCCTTGGTCTCCCTGACCACCACGTCGACAGCGAGGCTTTTCTGGATGGTCTGAGCACCATCACTGCTGAATGCAACTGACATAGTTGCTACTGAAAAGGGAAATTTAAATATAAACAGACCGCTTTCAACAAAATACAAAATTCTATACATGTCTAAATCTAACCAATCAAATGACATATGATCAACATGAAGGTGAATTACATAAACATTCTATTATCAGATATTATATAACACTAAAGAGCTGCTGTGGTGGCTTAGGGTAGCACTGTTATCTCACACAGGTAGGGGGTGTGAATCCCACCTCGGGTCTCTATGTGTGTGGAATTCACATTGTCCACAACGGCCCTTGTGTTGTGTTTCTTGCTGTAGTCTAAAGACAAGAAGCTGGGTTAATTGGCAAGATCTGCTCTGTGATGATTCCGGGCCAAATCCACCTGTGAGTGAGCAGACCGGCTTTAGGTCAGATACGTTACGGTCAGAGCCGTTATTCGGTCCATCTAAGTTATTGTTAATAGTAAGTCAGCACTTTAGTTTCTCCGGGCGAGCAATTTAACTCTTCAAATTTAGTGAATGGGTTAAAACAGTGTTTTAATATTTCTTAAATGTGTTGTGAAATGTTTTGAAACTAATGTTAACTTCTTTTAACATCCCTGTCCAGATAAGTACAGCGATAAGCTCTCGATTTGACGTTCGCTCCGCCTCCACGTGCAGACTCTGCCCACAAATCTCTGTTTGCATCTTGGGAGCTCTGCTCACCTATTGATTATTGTTGTTGGTTTGCTTTTCTTTGATGGATATTACTATTACTGTGTATGATTTGTTTTGTTTTATTGGATTTCTGATTTTCACTTTTCTCTTGTCTGTACTTTCACTTGGGTTTACTTGCTATTCGGTTTCGATCTCTCGCCTGGTTTTTGGTTAATGTCTTCTTGCGGCCCTCGGACTTTGACACTTTGATCTCTGTGTATGCTCTCTGTGTGTGTGTCAGGTGCATAGGGAGTGACTGCCATTTTTATTTTGCAAGCTTATGTTGTATGCTGTTGTTTGGATTGGGAGTAAGGTGTAGAATTTGTCATTGTGTTTTTGTTTTCTCTGCGCTTGGATAAGTTAGCTTTGGGTTGCATTCGAAAGCTCGGTTTGTTTATTTTCACTATAATCACTCCTGAGTCCTTTTGCACTGGGTTTATTTGTTCTGTATCCATGGCGTATCAATAAAGACAGAAAAAAATAACAAAAATACCCCTTTGTCCACATGTGTTCCCTTGTCCATCACACGCTGTCCTTCCCTTACTCCACATCCCCGTTCTTTTTCACTCTGTTCGCCCCAACCTTAGACTGGGGGTCATAACACCAGCTGCTGGTTGTGTAAAATGAATTTGCGCATGTGCGTGTCTTGAGCTGCCCGGTAGAGGGAGGTGCCCGTATATTGGAGGTAAGGATAAAGGAGGTTTGACTGTACTTTCAAACAGCACTGATTCTAATCACTTTCACAGGTGAAATTTAGCTAGACTGTTTGTTTCCCCAAACAGATATTCATGTGAAGTATTCATGTGAGACATTCATATTTTTGCCATTTCCCCACTATTATAGTATTTTTTTTATTTATTTTTTTTACTTAACACCTTGATTTCTGCTTTTGGTGATAGCTCAACCACCCTGCACCTTTTTGTCTACCTGTATATGGAATTGCAAGAGTGCCATAAAAAAAGAATAAATCCATAAAAGAAAAAGAAAATAAATGCTCAACAAGAAATTAAAATGCAAATAAAAATTAAAAGAAATGCTGTTTCGTTATTGCTTTTGCTTTTCCTAGAAGGGCCAAGCTGTCAGTTAACTGGCATCTGATAGAACTGGCAGGAAGAAACGTGGCCGAATGAAGCAAGTAACTAAGTAAATACATAAATCAGTAAGCAAGCAAGTAAATAAATAAATTATAAAACAATGCGGACACATACAGAAAACACTGACTGATGTTATCACCTATTAAAAAATAATAATACCTAAGACATAATAATAATAAACACGATTCTACACCCAGATTTCGCACTGACTGGTCGATCATTTCATTTTTACACACCAGAAAGTTAAAGACCGAATCGTAATCTGTTAAATATGCACTTTTAATTAATTATGCGCAACTCTATGGTTGCAATATATGCACGTACAGTATCAGACCCAGTGAATTAAATTGGTTAACATACCGCTAAACCCTGCTAGCTACTAAAATGGCTGCCTAGACTTACACACAACAAAATGTAATTACCTGAATCATGCCAAACAATGTTGTTAGAAGAGAATTGGGCAAATATAACAGTGCAGACCTTTCTGTGATCACCAAAGAAGCATCCCCATACGTCTCACATGGCATTATCACTATATCAAACACAATCACTTCCGGGGCAGAGATTAAACTGACGTCACAGTAGGCGGAAGTCTCTGCGGTGACTCAGAGCTGTTGGAAGATTTGACTGGAGGTTGGCTATTCATTTACATTTATAAACATAAGCCTGTTTATGTAATTGTGTGTCTGGGGGACTTTTCAGAGAATTTCTCTTTTGTCTTGCAACATGAAGAAATGTTAAGATTAACACTGACTTTATTGATCCCAGGGGGAAACTATGGTGCTTTTTTTTCACTTACCAAGTTTCATCAAAACCAAAAATGCCATTTGTAGAATCAAAATGTAATGATCCAGCTAGTAAACTAACATGCAGTTTGGAATTTTTTAGAACAAGAAATAGAAAAAAATATGCTGGTGGTTTAAAATGTAAACATTTTTTACTTTAACATTCACAATCACACCACATTTTGAAACTGGCCGATTCCAGCATCACTGACATTCCAGTTGCATCAGCCTGAAGGATGATGAAGGGCATTCTCATGCAGTTGCAGCCTCGCATTGTTACCTATATGCCGGGGTTTGCATGTCCTCTGCAGTGTTTCTGCAGGTTAGGACTCTGTGGCTGTGAGAGGGAGGCTGCCATTTCCAGTCCTCTGGTCAGCAGAGAAGTCACATCACCGATGGGCATTTGGAAAATAGGTGACTCTGCACCCAAACTTTGTGTTTTTGCCTTAAAGGAGCGCCAGGTGGAATATGGAAAAGCTAAAGAACTTGTACAAATGGCAAATAAAGTATTTTCCTTCTATCTAAAACAATGTAGTCAACACAACTTGATTTATTTCTGAAACTTTGTTATATAATGGATATTGTTATATCGTGGGTGGTAGAGTGGGTCAGGGAACAGTGCCGTTTGGATCCCACTCGCTCTCTGTGTGTTTGCATACGCTCTCTGAAATGCGCCGCTTTTTCTGCAGTACAAAAGCACGCAGTTCAGTGAGTCAGTGACTCCAAAAACACCTATGGTGTGCGACTATGCCCTGTGGTTGACTGGCATTCCAGAGAAGAAAGGCTGGCTTGTACTTTATGGACCCCCTCCCACTCCCCAATGACCATATTGATTAGGGGTGATTCTAGGATCATTTAAGCTGGGGAGCATAAGAATTGGCATAATTCATACAGAGGGGCCAACCTTATCATTAGCCAATGATTTGTTTTGAATCAATCAATGAGAGGGGGCTCTAGGGGGCCAATCAGCTTTCGGCTGGGGCCAGTGCCCCTGCAGCCCTGCTCCTGTACACGGCCCTGCAGAAGATACTGTATATGGGTTATTATATAGCTCATGTGAAGTTAATGTTAAGTTTGTTCATCATTTAAATCTACACCGTTCAAGCTTGGTATCAGCCATGATATGGACAATAAAAACTGCCATTTATGAAGCTGGAAATTATTATACTTTAATAAAACAATGTTGCTGCTATCTAGAGGTTTGCTCTGCAGAATATGCCGCAAATGTAAGAATCAGCAGGAGAAGAATAGATATATTCAGGTCAGTAGAGATGTTTCACGGCACTGTGGATGCATTGCTGAAAAGCAGGGTGGTAAAAGAATAAAGGATTGTTAAAAGGAGAGCAACGCTGATATGGCATTTTCACTCTTGTTTTATTAAACATAGAAAGTTTAAAGCAGCACAGAATAACACAAAGAACAATGAGATTAGAGCCATAATTTAGTCTTTAAATTTCAGACATCCAATTTTTATTTTTATATTTCATGTTGGACTCTGAACTTCACAAACTGCAATAAGTCTTGAATATAATGGGAAAACACAGATTGGATATTTATTATCAATCATTGCACTGTGGAATTATCTGAATGAAACGTAACCATATCACCTTCCCGTGTTCACTTACTGTCTGTGCTTCACAAACATACAGACACAAATGCATTTTTTTTACTACAGAGTCAATTGCATTCAGACAGTTATGTCATTATTATCTAATCAATAAATAAAATTTCATTATCTAGCTTCTATGCCCACTTAGCGGCAGTCTTGTACTGATGAAGTGGTTTTGGAAGTTGGATGGCTGGAACAAAGCAATGAGCTTAATTGTACTACATTCAGGTGACTGTACTTGGATTAAACATTCACTACAATGTTATTTTTTGATCTCTCAGATGAAACCAGAAGCTTTTCTTGTGCACGCATTGATGTATTATTGCTACCTTGCCTCTCAGGGGTGGGATTGTAGTTCCCAATAGAATGTTCTGCTTATATACCGAGATAATAATAAGCAAGTACAGTCAGAAGATTGTAGCTAGCTAGCCTATTAGCAGCATTTGCTGCTTCAGCATCTCCTAAATAAGGAAAATGTTTATTTAATATGTAGTGACTACGTGACTACTGTAGTGTGACTACTACAAACCACACTACAAATCATTTGGAGTTGATTTGTAATTCGATCACTGGACAGATAAAAGTAAAGTGTTTCTTCACATATTTTAAATTTTTCAACAATTTGAACACCTCCAATGTGGGCTATGTCTTAGAAAGTTGAGGTGGGCATGTAACATAACTATACAAATATAACTATACAAATAAAACAAAAATAATAAATACATATAAAACTGTGCCACAGAACTTATATAAAACATATATCTGGCCCAGAATATGGAAAATGATTTTTTAACACAAAGGTTACTTATATACCATAAATAAAAGCACTAAATTGCATTTCCTAGTTATTTTCTAGTCACTTTATTAAGTTTCTGCATTAAACACATATGAAAACTGCAAGCTCTTAAAGAAACAGAACATTTTGGTAAAAATATGCTAATAACACTGCTATCACATACCACTCCCAGACTAGGCTGGTGTCAGTTTGTGCTTTCAGCTGAACATCCCATTGCTACAGTTGACTTGAAGTTCATTGTTTTTCATTGGGGTTTTCAAGCTATCCCACTTTGGGGGAGAAACCACATTGAAATATTGAGTGAACATTCTATTTGGATTTCATGTTATGCTGTTATGCTGCCAAATAGCCCACAAAGTCCTGTATTTTATATTTATTCTACCTATTTTACTTTTAATAAATTCCAAAGTACAAATGTCACATTTAAATGAATTAAAATGTACGTAATTCACTTTTTATATGATCGCTTCCCCTGCACAATGAAATACAACATTAATAAGTTAACATTTGTTTAAAAAAATACAATAAGTGTTCTAATACAGCTTTTACAAAAGCCTACTATATCCCCTGTGTATAAATGTTCAACAGTCTTTCATTTAGAAACATTGTAAAAAGCAGTGCCCATAGAAAATATTCAGCCCCATAACCTTTTCCACATTATTTCTACTTACAGCTTCAAATGTTAATACACTTAATCTCCTACCAAATCTACACTGCAGCAGTTTGATGAAACTAGAAAATGTTTACTGTGAAACAACAGTGAAACAATGGGAAAAAATGTTTAAGTCATGATTTAGAAAACTATTCATTGCTATAAACTAATACTTCATAGAAATAACTTTGGCAGCGATTTCACAGCAAAACTCCACTAACAGGGGGTCTTTGGTGGAAAAGGATTCTTTAAATGTTACAGCATCTTCTCAGCTGAAATCACCTCCTTGACCTCTCCCAGATATTCATTCTCTGGTTTGTAAAGTCACTCCACTTTTGCTGCGCCAGTGTCTCCAGGTTATTACAACAGCAGGGCAGTCTTTGGTTATTTGCTGACTGGAGTATGTTTTCCTTAAAGATTTGGTTGGATTTAGTCCCATTCATTTTGTGTTCTACACCCAGCAGAAGTTATCTGGAAACACGACGTTTACACTCCACATTTCACAGCTGAGGTTGTGTTACTGGTGCTGTACTTCATGTTGTCTGTATCACTATTTATTATTATTATTCAGCAAGGCCAAACCAATTTCATATAAACGGAATCCTTTCAGATACATTACCTATGGACTTTGGCTTCCACAGCTGTCTTTGGCCTGAAATTTTACTATAAGAAGAAGATGATCCGAGCAGAGTTTGGATAAGGCTGTATACATTCTTCATCTATCAAAAACAAAAAAACTTGTTTAATATAAGATAATACTGTGCACCTGATCTCAGCCATTTTAGCAGTTTATTTTGGACTACAGAGACAGGTGATGCAGTCATTGTGTTTTGAAATTTTGCATACAAATGAAGAGACTCTGTTGATCTCAGCAGCATATCAAATGAGATGAGAACTTGTGTAATGAAGCATTTTCAAACTGCAATTCACTATAGTTTCACTGTTGTTTCATAATGAATGACTTTACCTTTCAAAAATTAGATTTATATCTATAAAATACTTCAGTTGAGGAGGTGAATATTTCCTACAGTCACTGTGAATTATCATATATTGCATGTGCTTACATTCTCTCCTTAGGTTTATTTTTTAGGTTTCACAAAGTGCCTTCTATTTTCATCGGCACCAGAAAATGTTTGACAAAGTGATTATTTTAATCCAACCAAATCAAACAAACATAGGTGCCATATCATTTGTGAAACATCTTGTACTCCCAATAGAATATCATGCAACAGAACTTGGAGAGACAAATAGCATTACTTCAAAGCTGGTGTGATATACCTCCATTATGAACCAAGAGATGGACTTTTTGGAAGTCTTGCAAAACATGGTGGATAGGATGCAATTTGAAAAATAGAGTCTGGATATACAAAATAATACATTTAACAAGAGGTTAATGATGACAATTTCTAGGCCTGATGTCCACAGACAAAAACAAAACAAAACACTCCTTTCTGAGGCTTTTGAGATCCAGAAAAAATAGAGACGACATGTACAGTATATGAATATGCTGACTGCATATGCTAGAAAAAGGAAAGAAAGAGATAAGACAACTGAAAATAGCAGGGAGCTGGTTGCTGATTGGCTTCCTCACAAGTAAACCCGCCTCAGGTCCCCCGGAGACGTGATGGTGTTACACTGCGGGCACAGCTTCTTGGCTCCCTGTAGGAATGGTGCAGTGGACACTCAAATGAACAGAAACCAAAGATCATCATCATCATCAGACGGCATCAGACACACGGAAATATGAGCACATTTCGCCTGTTTTATCCATGCTCCATTGGTTGCCTGTACATTTTAGGATTCAATTTTATTTGCTTTTAAGGCTTTTAATGGTCTTGCCCCTCCCTACCTCTTTGAGCTGTTACACCCTTACACACCCTCCTGGTCTCTCAGGTCATCTGGCTAGCTGCTCCTGAGTGTGCCTATAACTAAGCATCAGCTTAGAGGGGGCCGTGCTTTCGCTGCTGTAGCTCCCAGAATGTGGAATGATCTGCCCTTGCATGTTAGACAGGCTTCTTCAATGACCGTTTCTAAATCCCGCCTGAAAACCCATCTCTTTTCTTTGGCTTTCGATTCCTTGTGAGATGTTGATTTTAGTGTATTTTATTTGATGGTATATCATCTTATTTTGTATATGTGCTTATTTTATGAACTTTTATTTACATGATTTTAATTGTTTCATTTTATATTCTCTGTACAGCACTTTGGTCCTGTGTGGTTGTTTTAAAGTGCTTTATAAATAAAGTTGGTATAGTATGATATGGTATGGTATGGTATGGTATGGTATTAATGTGCCCCACACAGCTCTGTACACCGTCAGATCTCTGAAACATGACAGTTTGAAAAATGTTGCACATATAACATATTATGATATTGATACCTAACACTGTCTTATAATTAAATATCTAAATACAAATACAAAGAGAACAAACTGTTCAATGATGTATGGTAATAACTATAGTTACCTCATTTTGCCTGCTGCTTTTACAACTGTAATCGATCAATCAAAAAAGAAAACTAATTGTTATACTACATTCAAATGTTTTGTGTTTAGATATATTCTACTGTCCATTTTATTACTATTACTATGTGTGATGCTTCCACTAAGAGAGCCCACTACCTCATTTTGTTGTGCATGTGCACAATGACAATAAAGCTAACTTTGAATTTCGAATGATATAAACAATGACATCAATCTAGTTAAACTCCCCTAAATTTGAGGCTTATCTTACCAGAGTCCTTAGCCAGCACTCTTCACAGTGTACATGCCAGCACTGTATGGAAGTCAGGGGTATTGTGTAGGCGTCCTGAATAAAATGCAAAGATGACAGGCCATTAATTGGGATATTCTACATCCAGAAGCATAAATAAATGGCAGCAGATCTGAGGGAGTTCCACAGAAGTCTCTACAATGAGAAGAATCCAGCTTAAGTGGGGATTAACCAGGCCTGCTGAAACTGTCGGTTTAACATCTAGCCTAGGTGCTGTACTTAAACTAAGGTCGATTTAGATTTTTTTTAACAAACATGAATAGGCAGTTTATTTTATTACATGACATCAAAGACCCGCAGTCTGTTTATATTGGGACTTCATGTGAATGCCAATACAAAACCATATACTGGCTGAAATACCACACTGGAAAGTTCAACATTGTTTCTTTACAGATTTCTATTTTAAACATAATCATTACTCATATTCCGACTTCTTTGGTTGTTGGTTCAGTTCTTTGCTTTCTCCTGAGTTTGCCTGTTCTCTACATGTTTACATGGATGTCCTCTCATGGTCAAAAAAACATTTGATTTGCGGGGATTGATCCCAGTACAAAATAACCTCCATGCTGTAGTTTTTACTTAAAAAGTCATTTTATGAACTTCCAAAACACTGCCATGTGTCTTCAAAATCATATAGCTTAATAAAACATAACAATCATAGGAATTTAAAATAATTCCTGAGAACTGTGCATGAGAGTTTGTAGTGTATCCATTTCTCCTGTTACTCCATTGTAATTGGTAATACTTTATCATGGTTAATGATACATGTTTGTAATAATTTCTGCTTGGAAAAATTCAATAGTACAATTAATGCACCATTTAATTTGTCAGACAATTGAAGCAATTTTTGTACAATGAGGGAGCAGACATTTGCAGTACCACAGTTGAACACTAAGGGGAAGCACAAATCTAAGGATGACTGCAAACTGCACATTGCACTAGTGTACAATAAATACCTAAAGAAAACTGCTAGTGTGTTATCAAACAAAGATATTTTATGTAAAAAGTCAGTTCTCTCTTTTCATTGTCATGCTTCCAAAATAAGAAAAAAAATATTTTTAATGATTAATAAACAAATTAAAATAATTAAAACAAAGTAGTAATATCCAAGATTGTTGTGATTTATTTAAAGTGATATCTTTTTATAGTAGGAAAAATAACTATAATTAATGAACATACTCACCATGCAGATGAGACACTTATAACGGTCTCCCCTTGACAGCTGTTTCTCCAGCTCCCGAATGCGAGATTTCAGGGCTTCAAATGTAGTCAGAGTGGAGTCGTCAATAATCCTGTGAGGGAAGATGAGTTTCTTATCAAGACAGTACATGGGATCAATCAGAATTACAAGATGTACTACTTTTTCATTCCTTTCATTTATACTCTAGAATTGCATTGTTTAATATAAGTTATCTATTATAGACCTTCAGGCCAAATTATATTAATACATGCCTGAGTTACAATCCAGTTGTAAACAAGTAAGCAAAAAAATCAGATGTGAAAAAATGGGCAATTTAAAAACCGGCAGCCACTGTTGTAAGTACATTGGCTAAAAGTAAAATCCATTAGGAAACATACAGAAGGGTTAAATATTTATTTATTTTCTCTTTTTTTCCTTCTCTGTCTGTGGAATTTATAACATCTGTCATTTTTGAAGAAATCAACAGGGGGAAAAAAGATCTACATTTTCAAGATTTGAAAGACATAGTGAACCAGACAATAGGAGACAGAGTCTTATGCTTTTCATCTATTTGGCTTGCAAGCCATCTATGGAGAAGTCAATTGTTTTAGTATAATTCAGTGTACTACCAATTACTAAAATAAAATTATTCTGTGGTGTTACTGATAATATGTTATCAGCAATGCAACTAAAAAACAAGCATCCAAATGAACACAAAAATTGAAAAGTAGATATGCAGTACACAGAGATAAAGATAAGTGTGAATAATAGCATTAGTGGTCATATTGGTCATATGTTTTTTTCATCTGAAAACAATATGGTTATATACCTACAGTAGCTATCATTTTTCAGCAAGTATATATAGAATTGTTCCTTTTCATATCGTATGTAATGCAATTCCAGATACAGTGGTACCTCGGTTCTCGAACCAGTTTGACCTAGAACTCGATCTGAATATCAGAAGTCGAATCGTGAATGCTGACCTAATATAAATTGTATGCGCCAGGAAATGAGTCATACTACAATGCAATTCTTACTTGAATGCCTTCTTCACAGACTGGACAATTAACCAAATAAAGCAGCGCAACATTACAGTAACTAACAATAAATAAACCACTAACTTACGTGTACTATTAGAGCATTTATGTCATTTATTTAAACTTTATTTTACCAGGTAAATTAACTGAAAATCAGTTCTCACTGCTTTACGTGATATTCGGGAGAAATAGCAGATTACGCAGGTGTAATTTTGGGGGGCCGGGAACCAATTAATTGGTTTTCCATGGGAAAAATTCGATCAGAATTTTATAGGATTCGATCCGGAGTCCGGAACGGATTAAGTTTGAGAACCGAGGTACCACTGTACATCAAAAATTCAAATAGAGGGATAAATTATTTTGTGAGGCAGTAAATAAGTTAGAGAAATTTCATAAACATTTATAGGATGGAGATTACGGGTTTATTTAATGAGAATCAGATAGCTTTAATTGCACCATCAACAACAGTGAATATAGAATATTGAACTAATTTTATTTCTAGGTGAAATTCCATGAATCCATCTTTCGAACTTCCTATTCTTCGTAAGGTTACAGGGGGCGGAGCCTATCCCAGGCAGGACAAAATTGAGGAACACCATAGACAGGTTTCAAACCCATTATAGGGCATATGCAGCATGGAGATGCGATTCAAACCCATCATAGGGCATATGCAGCATGGAAATGCGATTCAAACCCATCATAGGGCATATGCAGCATGGAAATGCGATTCAAACCCATCATAGGGCATATGCAGCATGGAGATGGGATTCAAACCCCAAGCTTGATGGGACTACCCACTAACCCACTCTGCCCTTGGGAAATTCCATTCTTATTTACAGGGTGTTTTTGGAAGGTGACTTATTGTAGTTGGTATACTGGAGGCTGATTTACTTAAAATGAGAGTTTCACAATAACTTTTCTTGCATATCAGTGGTATATATCTACAACAGGCATGATCACACTCATTGACTGCGCAGAGTTAAGTGCTATAATTAAAAATTTAAACAGAATATTATTTTGATTTTCCATTCCAAGCCAGTCAGTTACCACAATTATGCCCTCTTTAATCAAAAACCTTATTGACAGTTCAAACTTGTAGCTACAAAACAACTTCTATTACTCAGTTTTCTTCATCTGGAATATATATGTTTAATGCTTTCTAAAATTAAGGAAATTAAACACCGCTCTGACACCATGTAAAATAAATTCTCACCTTCATATGTTAAAAATTTAATTACAGTACTGCAAACCATCTCAGTTTAAGACAAAACATTTAATCAAATTTAAAGCACAGGGGACAGGGCAGGGGACATGTGCAGAACCCTAATCCGAACTATGACAACCCTAACTCCTACCCTGTCCTAACTTCACCCGTAAGTAACCAAACAACACAGAAGCCATTTGGCTATTTTAGTTTTTTGATTGCAGTCACAGACTTTTATACAACTGAGGTTTCCCTTGTGAGGACTGGAAAAATGCCTCCCACAAGGTCAAAATAAGAGTACAGCACCACCTGCTGAACTTATAAATAAAATGTTACTGCATGTTATCCAATATTTATTTGCAAATTTCATAAAAAAAATAAAAATAAAATCTATATAGATCATATACAGATTACTATGCAGCTGAGAAGCTACAGTAAACAGTGCGTCATAATACAGCCCCCTTAAGTAATTCAGTGTCACTCCCCCATATTTCGCACAGGGGTAAATATGGATTTAGGGAGTCTGGGGCTGTTTTGGGAGAGAATACATCAAATCACACACACACAGGTTTGTAATTATATCTTTGTGGGGACTCTCCATTCATTTCTATGGGGAAATCTCTAAACCCCACATGACGACCTTTAACCCCACTCAGCACTAACCTTACCCATAAGTAACCAAACAATATACAAGAATTTTTACATTTTTAGTTTTTTGATTGACCTGAAAAATGGTCCCCACAATGTAAAATAAACATAATCTATACACACACAGACACGCACACATACATATATTTATGTGTCATGTGCAGAGCTCTCCAAGCTAATAACAGTGGTGACTCTGAAGAGGAGAGGTCCTCTCTGCGTTTATGCTTCCCCTGACAGCAAACAGCTGGAGTGATTCATACTCCCGGCAGGCTAAAGTGTTTAATGCCCCCACGACGTGCCGAAGGAGAGAGAGAGAAAGGAAGCAGCCCAGACAGGCAGCAATAAATCAATGGGGGTGTCGGGCTTCTGCTGCTGCATTTAGAAACACCATTCTGGTGACCGCGAGATGCACCATGCCAGCCTCATGCACGCACGCATGGACAGATGCAAACAATGCAGTTTTGAGGCCTCTGTCTGTGTGGGTGTGTTTTTTCGCACGTTTTAAACTTTTATTGATATGACTTTTTTTGGATTTTGGCAGAGATGACCACCTTCCATTTCACTGCAGGTTATAGCCTGACTGTATACTTTGCACGTGACAAATAAACCTTGAATCCTGTGTGTTCCTCTTAGCAAATGCGGATATTCATTTAAAATTCCCACGTACGATGTCAGACAGCACAAATCGATTGCTCTCAGGCCACCTGTTTATTTGTATCTCTCTTGTGGCTGTCCTGCAAAATATTTACATGACAACTGTGGGGCAAAAAAATAAGGAACCTGAAAGCACTGACCCGTATGTAATATCCTGAACTCTGAATATTACCCTAAACTAGGTGCAGAACAAAGGCAGGGCTGATATGGAATGTTTGTATTGACTGCACTTTCAGGTTGCTAATACCATAAGTTCATATTATGTATAGCGAAAAGCTTTTTTATGTACTACTATGAGACTTTAGAAGTTGTAATATGTGATTCAGGACATGATTACGGAAGATAACAATGAACACCTTTTTTCATATCAAAAACAAGAAAAAGGCAAACAGTAAACTGACACAGGGCAGATGTGTGGTTCTGTGAGGTAGGACGGTGTTCGGATGGTCGATGGTTCAAATCCTGGAAGAGTGGTGCTACCGTTGGGCCCTTGAGCATAACACTTAACCCCCAATTGCTAACGGGACACTAGCTGACTCTGTTCTCTTAATCTCCCTTTTAAGCTGCACTGGATAAAACCATCTGGTAAATGTACTGATTTTTATTTTAATGCAACTTTTTGTCATCTTACAAGATGGGCAGGCAAGACAAATAGGAGGCAATTTTTTTGCAAGATGACTCCAACGGCTTTCAAAAAACCCTGAGCACAGCAGTGAGGTAGATCTGAATGCTTTCTCATCCTGGCATTTATTTGTGGATGATTTCGCGTTCTCCAAAACTTCAGCAAGCTGTCCTTTAAACCTTTTGCCTTCCAGGTTTTATGCTGAATGGAGCTAAGGTTAGGTTTCTTCATCTTGAAATGGCATTTAAAGATATCCGCAGACGAAACTCTGAGGCTTCCCCTAACATGTGAGATGCTTTTGCAGGCTTGTGACAAAATGCATTTCATGGGTTGTGATGTTATAATGTCACTGCATTGATATCTATGCTTGAAAAGAGGTTTACACTGAGCTCCGTTAACTTTGCTATATTAAAAAAAAAAAATCTTGATACAGATATTACGCATACAGCTACATATGGAGTTTACTAAAAGTTTAAGCTGAGAACCTACACATACACTAAAAACTAACTCACTATAAGATTGTGCTACAGATTCTAATATGCTATAAAATTAAACCTTCAATAAGGATGCTACAGAATCATAATAAAATACCAGGTACTATATGACATAGATTTCCAAGCATCTTTTAATATTTTGTGACCTAAGGGTCCTTTAATACCTCAGTATGCATGTTATGGCACCTCAAATTTATTATCTCCATGTTAGAGTGAAAATTATAACTGTAGGAAAATGGGATAACTGAAAAAAAGTATATTTACATTTTTTTAGACTGATAATATTTATATAATTCATCCATCTTCCAACAGGGGGAGCTGGAGCCTGTAACAGGCAGCACAGGGCTGAAGGCTGGGTTTGCACCATGGATGGGATGCCAGTCCACTGTAGAATATTTCAATAATACTGCATTCCCAGAAAATGTAACGTGTTTCTGGCCACAAATGAATGCAGAATATAACATCTAAAGAAGGAATACTCAGCAGTGTGGGGCATTTTCAAGTGCAGCTGATATTTGAAAGTACATTTCCATAAACTTTTATCATTTGAAAGAGGTGGCTACACTTACTTCTTGATGTCACTGGATTTACAGGCTCTCTGTGTGGGGTCTGTGCAGAGATCCTGCGTGCTGCTGTCCCCCATGCTTGTGGATGGCATTTCTGCAGAGAGAAGCCTTTTAAAAGCCTCTCATAAACTCCAGACACAGTTCACACTTTCAGAGCGGTACAAAAATCACATTTGCTTAGAAGTGACTAAAGAGACACAGGTGCTTACCATGGCTGGCCCGTTTAGAAAATTCAGACGTTACTCTGCTACAGGAACTGCTACCACTAAAAGACAAAAGTGAATCATTTACTTTTAAAAAGGGCATGAGGTATTTTAAAATTTTGCTAAATGAACTGTGAAGCGACCAGTGTCCAGGTCAATGTGTGAGAAAAGAGGAAATGCATCATTGTCTAAATTAATGATACATTTGTGACATCTATCATTTTTGAAGAAAACCATAAAATTTTCCCATGGTAAACTGTTAAATGACAAAAAAAATATTCCAAAATCCACTGACTATAGAAACAGATGTGGAGGCAATGTGATATACATCTCGACGCACTGCAAACTGCCGATACGTTAAAGATACATATGAAGCAGCTACTATTGCGATATGATACAATTGTGATGTAGTACGATTCGACACGACATGATGCATCACCAGACGCGCCTCCAACTCGCCCAAGACTTAGCCCAAAAAAATAAAGTCTATACTTAAAGAAAAAATAGCAAAGCAAAAATTAAACAGACTTTGGACATCCTCCCTTTCCCATAAACATAAAAAAGAGCTGCCGATTCTCCACCCCTCACAGACACAAAAGGTTCACGCTAAAAGACATGCCATCCTGTGGTGTGGAAGCATAATGACCCTCAAAAACATTAATTACACCAATTGTAAGCAAAATAAATAATATGAAATTAATAAAGCAAAATTTTTGAAAAGAGCTATCCTGAGTTCATCCAAAATTGCCTCCAGTTTTTTGTCTCACTCATTTCTCAATTTACGGGTGTGCGTCTGTGAATAATATACGCAATTGCAAACTGTAGTCTGGTTCTTCGTTTCACATTAATGAAGGGCTTCTTCCTTGCTTTATGGGACTTCAGTCCTGCTTCTAGGAGCCTGATATGATCCTGTCCTAGCAGTGCACTTCTCGCACTTAATGTTTCCTGTTCCTTTTGAAAGTCACTTGATGTCATCCTCCGATTCATGAGGAACTGTTATATAAGTAAATGGTCATCTCTGGCATTAGAAAGTCACTTCTGCTGTTTACCAGGCTGGTTTCTGGTTGTTTCCAGTGTCTCCTGCTTCACTTTATTCTTGTGTACAGCAATTCTAGAAGTTTTGAACCTAGAAGAAACCTGCTGCTCAGAGTAGCCTTCTGCCAGCAGAACCACGATTAAACCAGGATTTAGAAATGCAGATTTGTTTATATAGAGTGGTCTTTTTTTCCATGGCTGTATGTGTATATATACATGCAATTAAATGCAGTAGCCAGCCCCAAGCCAGGGGCTGAATCACTGTTTTATATATTATGTGGCCTTTTAATGAAATGCATTTAATTATAAGCATCATTATTCTTTCATACACTGATGTATGTCCTTACATACCTAACTCACAGATTACCTTGCTTAAATTGGTTTTTAAGTCACATGAAAAACATGACCCAGGGAATATGAAAACGCTCCAATTACTCATACCTACAGCTGGTTACAAAAGTTTATATGTTCACAGGTATTTTTGTAGCAACTTTAATCCTTCGATCCATCTTCTGTTTATATTCCTCTGGGTTAGGGGGTGCAACTTTAACTTTACTGTGACATTAATATTAGGTTGTCAGTGATTACAAAGAAATTTTATTAGAACTAGGGAATAATTATTTTTTTAATGGAAGTTCTATTTAAATGTATCTACACTAGTATTCTAGACTTCCTACAGAGAATTAATTGGTTACCAACAACAATAAAAAATCATAATGTCAATTAATTTTTTAAATAGATAATTCATTTGTTTAATGAAATAGAATTACGAGTGCATGGGTCACATAACCTAGAAAAATGTGATGTCAGTCTGAAAAATCATTACAGCTTATGTCCAACATGGACAAACTACATTGGCTGTCACAAGTGGAAGCTCACTGACAAGGACAGAAGGATACTTAGCGGGATAGCTGCTAAACACCACAAAAGTAAGGTACCAAAAATTGCAACAGAACTAAAACAATTCCTCCATGACCCAGTCTCAACAAAAACTGCAAAAATTTCACACGGCTGGAGTTTATGACAGGGCTGACCATCAGAAACTACTTGTATCCAAGCCCAAGGAACAAAGATACATAACCTGGTGTAATGACCACAAAAGCTGGACCCCTGAGCAATGGAATGCAGTAATATGGCCTGATGAGTCATATTTCACACTATTTCCTGTATCCAGGCGGGTTTACAGTTGTAAAAACCCACAATGTCTGTTGCTGACTGTTGAACGTGGTGGGCGATCTCTAGTGGTATGGGCAGCCAGGGGCAGCAGGGGAGTTATTAAGTCCTACAATTTCCCTGCATGTCTGTATAAGGGGCAAAGAATATGAGGCCATTTTACAGGACCAGGTGCACCTTATGGTGCGAGCACCTCCCCCCCGATACTCCCATACTCCAAGATGACAATGCCCCCGTACACACTGATATACTCAAGGAGGATTTAATTAACATTAAAATGTCTTCCATGCCCCCCTCCCCCATCACCCAATCTAAACATTACTAAAGGTCTATTGGATGCTCTGGAGCACAGAATATGCAGTAGATGTCCACCGACTTAATTCCTCAAAGATAAGTAGGCTTTAGTTCTTGAGAAATGGTTCAATATCACACTACAGTTCAGAATAACATTCAATGAAAGAGGCATGCAGGCTACAGGTCTTCAATATTAATATATTTTGATAACACTTAGAACAGTCATGTACAATGCATTATAGGTACTTTCGTAATACTTTATGAATGCATTATAATGCATTAGAAACATGGCTATACTGTAGCTATTTATAAAAAGGCATAACACATTATACCCATGTCTATTATGCATTATAAATGCTCTGTGAAGCTTTCATCTATAATGCAATATAAATACCTTCCTAATGCAATAAAAGCATCCTTAATTATACTTACCATTATAATGCATTATGAAGGTATCTATAGAGCCAAAGGTGCAACTAACAAAAACGTGCAAATTTCACATTACCTGCCAATAAAATAGGCAATACATATCTTATCATTTCATAAGTGTGACAAGAAATATGAAACATCTCTAAAATTTCTAACAATAGAAAACTTTTGTACTGCTGTTTATATTATCATTATTATTATTATCATTTTTAACCACGTGAAAACTGCGGGAATAAATATTGAATCAGGAGTGTACAGGACCAAGTAAACCTGCATATACATCTTGAAATCAGGATGTGTAATATATTAACAGTATTGGGTTCCGGATGTGTAATATATTAACAGTATTGGGTTCCGGATGTGTAATATATTAACAGTATTGGGTTCCGGATGTGTAATATATTAACAGTATTTGGTTCCGGATATGTAGTATATTAACTGATATTGACCAACTGAGTTTTATATCTGCCGTCTGACAATGTGTGGAGAACACCAGCACAGATTCTGATGCCTGTACTCAGGCTAATGAATACTCTGCAAAAATTGTGTACTGTTGGGCCTATGAGTTCTCAAGACCCAGGTTCCATTATTTTTGACTGAGTATCTCCGACAGTGAGCAGGAATAACCTGGTGTGCTTACTTCAAACTGGCCCCCTGCAGAGCTTCTCGCTTCTGAGCCTCTCCAAGCTCATCTCCTGAACATAAGATCACGTCCGTCTCGCTGTATCTTGGTGTAATACGGTCAGGGAACAGACTGCTTATAACGTGAAAGTCTCATTAACTGCTAACTTAATCTGAAATCAGCTCTTACACAAATGATTCTCACGTAAAGATTATAATGTACAGAAGGACTAAGCATATGTACATGTCAGATACAGATACAAAATGTGTTGTTTTTTGGATGACTGCTTCGGGTGCTATTTTAACATGTTTGTATAAATAAATCTTGACCCATTTTCTGACATGTTTACACTTTATTTCTCAGGACATATGAGATGTGCCCCAAAGACTGTTGTACTACCAGTATGGATAAAAGAAAAGGATACTGTATTTTCCCATACTCCAGTGTGTCGTCCCCATCCACATCCAGGTCCACATCACTGTCAAGATTCTCTTTGGAGTTGTATGCAACAAAACCTATAAAGGACAAACAGGTGATGAATGTTGGTTAGATCAAGTACTACATATTTACAGTTTAACTTTGCAAAGAAAGATGAACATAATTGTTTAAATATTGTTTATTGTAATATGAACCCTATATGGCTACCTAATTGAAATCATTTTTATCAAATTACATAACCATCAATCACCTAAAAGACCATCACATATTATACATATTATACTGAAAAGTTTTACTTCCTGAAAAGTTTTTGCTGATTATGACAGGTACCTGGTGGGTATGCACAAATATAGTTTTGGTTTTGCTGCATCACGTAGGAACACGTAGGAAATAGATCAGACGGTTAACTGTTTACCGGCAATAACATATTTAATCACGTTTATGATTCTCATACGCTATTAAGTTCAACATAATTAGAAATGCTTTGGTCTTGATTTTTGTTTGTATTCAATGTCAGGTGCATCACGTTGCAATGTCCAACAGTACTCAGCAGAAATTTTCATTCCTGGTGACAAACACCAGGAAACACCATTCCTGCAGTCTCAAACCCAGCAATTCTCTGTGACCAGATCATTTAATTCTGACTGTGTTATGAGATGTGGATCACCTGATGAGGGAGGAGGAGTTAAGGAGCATGCACTGATTACAGTGCGTTGTCACACCTACCACACAACAAACCACCTCAGGGATGAGAACCTGAGTGCAGCCATGTGGTGGGTGATACCCCAGCACCACACTAGTCCGAATGGACAGTTCAAAATGGAGAACGGTTCAAAATCCGGATCATTGTCACTGCCAGTTCCCTGTATTGCAGTTTCTTCATCTGGTTTATTTAAGGTCCATCCTACTGGTGGTTTTGGAATAGGAAGACTGTCATCATGTGGCACGGGTCTCATTGCTGAAGGAAGATTAGGGTATTCAATTGACTTTTTGTTTTTGGCAGAGAAACCAGACACATTAGTCAAACAGAAGTAACAGTCCGTCACATGGTCTTTCTGTTCCCGCCATATCATCGGGACAGCAAACGGCATCGTCTTTCGAGTGCCTCTGAGTCAGGCTCTCAGACACACAGCACATGTCGCACGACAAATGTGAGGCGCCCATTCCTTGTCTTGATCACCGATTTTACAGCCAAAGTACAGATGATATGCTTTCTTCACAGGAGCAGTCATTGAGCATCTCTGAGGCGCAAGCGTATATTCGCCACAAATATAGCAGAATGTATCACGGCTGTTATATGACATTGACAAGACATGCCAACCAAAACCAATCGTCCTGGAAATGTCTATAGTATCTAGCTTACTTGTGATATTGCTACTGTGGCAATGCTACATTCTGAAACAATACATACACACTATCAGCTCTATATTAACCCAATGTGCAACATCTGTGTATGCAGGCCACTTTTATAGCCTGTTGAGGCAGTGTCAAGCTGGCTCTGGCCTGCCCAGGCATGTCCAGGCTGCAAACTTCCAGCCTGGCCTGATTCCATGCCTGGACATTCCCAGGCTGTACAAAACATTGTTGATATGTCTCTTGCAGAAATGAAACTTTTTGACATTAATATAAGAAAAAAAACATGACAAAACTGAAGATTTCAATGAAACGGTACGTGATGGGCAAACTTGGATGTGATTTTCGTGATCAGCAGTGAAAAATCTATGAAGAACACCCAACACTGTTCAAGAAGCAAAAACTTTGTTGTGCAGTGTTATTGCACTATTGCCTGGAGACTCTCTAGCAATGACACTGCTGAAGAGAGAATTTATCAAGTCACTGATAAGCAGAAAAACAAACCTTTCCTTTATCCAGAGAAGCACTTTCAGGGAAAATCTTTGCCTTTAAATTGTCAGTATCATCCATGAAATTTAAGAGGTGTTAATTTGAAACAATACACAAAAGGATTTGGCTAGAATTGTTTGGTATGGAATCACATACGTAATGAGAATCAGACAAATTTGTGGTTATAGACTGCACAGTACACTGATAAACAAAAGACAAAAATAGACAATACACAGTAACACGTATAACAATTTCAGTAGAACTTTACTTAAAGCAGTCATCATAATGCATTATAGGTACCCTCACAATGCATTATAACGCATTCGTAAAGTATTAGAAACACAGCTATGATTATTTACAAAAAGGCACAACATGTTTATTACTGTATGCATGCTCTATGGAACTGTCATCTATAATGCATAATGAAGGTATCTATAGTGCATTATAATGGTCAGTATAAGCCATTATAATGCATTATAGGCTGTTATAATATTTGTTATTTTATAAATCAGGTAACAGATCTTTCAACACACAAATTTACCATGCAGTCAAATTACAAAAGACCATCTTTGGAGTTTATGCGCTTTTTGAAATAGCATATTGGCCTAATCTCCATTCTCTATGACCAGCCCACTTCACACTGTAGCAGGCGGAGGAAAGGCATGCAGAATAACTAAAGCTAAACTCAAACACGTGAATCCACAGCCATCCGCATGGTCATCCAAGAACAAGTGTGACTCACTGTGTACTACAGCAATAGCAAACCATGCAGAAGGCTTATTGCAGAAGGGCTCTTAGCTTATCTCCCTCCAACAGCAGCACTATAAAATGCCCTTTCAATGGCTGAAACACAAATAAAATGCATCACAAACGTCAGCCCGTTTACAATAGGACATTTGTTTTTAGTGATCAAATAAAAGAGACCTATTAAATTTTATGTGATCCCAGGGCCTGTGAGGAACATATGTTCGCAATAACGAGTTAGTATAAATAATCCTACTTGCTGCCCGCAGTTCCAGACGATATAACACGATATTTCAAGAGAATTCTTGAATGCATAAGAACTGAAGGTAGCACCACTGAATAGCTAGCAGAGTCATAACATTTTATGTATTTCTCTACATCTACACTATTTCCCCCCAGGTTCCCCAGGTGTTGGAGTGTGTGTCCATGCATGTGTATGAGAGAGCTATCTACACACTGTGATTCTAGAACCCAGACTGAAATTGTTACAAAATGTTAAAGAAGATAGAACAATACATGTGATCGTATAAGTACAAATATGTACATACAAATATACATATAAATACCCTATTTATGTATATTCAGCAAAAGCGGGAACACAGCTCAATCTTCAAAACATGCTATCCAACTCGGCCAAATTCATTTTTAAACAAATATGAGCCCTAATATGTAGCTATGTAGTAATATTATTGTAATATTAACATTAATAACAATATCAATGGTCATTTTAATATCATTTATATTAAAATGAATGTGTTTTATTAATATTAACGTTAGAATATTGCTTTAATACTTTTCTTTATTTTACAAGTGATTGGTTTACTTTGACTCCATTGACTTTTCTGTATGTGGATCTCTTTTTGTAAAGGCAGAAAGTCAAACTTAGGAAAGAAAGAGTGATAAAAAAATAAAGCCCATTTTGGCTCAGAATTGATTTTCCTTCCTGTTCTGTCATTTCCTTGTCTTTGATAAAATCAATTAAATAAATACAAAGACTACTCTGCTTGAAAATTCTATGCGGATATAAATTTGGTACTCAATTTATATAAAAATTATAAAAAAAACTTGAGTTTCAGAATTGACCGAATTTCAGGTCAGTTAAATTCATTAGGGGACGACAAATGACAGCACAGTGAAGGTAACAATATTACGCCTTTCATGAAAAGAAAAATGTTATACTTATATGACAATTGAGGGTTCCAGCCGCAAAATCCATTTGACAGGAATGATGGGTAATTTATTATTTGCCCTGTTAAAAATATAATTGCTTTGCAGCATGTGGCATCAGCTAATGTCACATACTTACATATATATTATAGATAGCTTGTCAAGAACAGAGAAATACATATGACAGATTTAATTTAATTTAATGTGCGCAATGTCTTGTGTACATTCAGTTCCAATCGTGATGTGTATATCTGCGATGAATTTTCTAAAAAATATATATAATAGAGGGATTATGGTTCTTTATGAGATTTAATTACATCTATCGCTTTACTTTAACTTTTGAGTATAATTTCTATAAGTAATGAGATCCGATTATAAACACCCTCTTCTGCTCGCTTCTTAATTCAGAAGTAAAAAGGATTCCTTATTTTCTGACACAATGTCACATTCATGGAGCAATCAACATCTACCACTATTTAAATTTATTTCTTGTTTTAATTGACGCCTGCATTTTCAGAAAAGCAGTTAGTACAAATTATTTTTCCAGCAATGGCCGTGGAAGTGCTAACACACCATATCAAAGCTTTAGACTTTCTGTTCATTATATTCAAATTACTAGCTAGAGGTAGTTCTCGACTGACAGTTACCTGTTCCACAAACCCTGAATTAAATAAAATTTGGATTTACATTACAATACCATTCAAGACAAATTATAACAAAAACACATAAGCCAAAAACACACTAATAATACATACTAAAGAACATATTAAATAAATGAAAAGGTAAAATATAAAATTAACGCATCGATAAATTCTATGCATCATGGATGTTTTTTCCACAAGTCTAGAAGTACTTAAATCGGTTTTACGCAAGTTGATACTGTACTGTATTTGGAATTGTTCCATCTACGAATAATCATAATACAAGAAATACAATTCACAGTTCAGCTGTGAAACATAACAAAAAAGTCTGACACCAGCTTTGCGAACCTACTGAAATTGACTGGATTCCTGCATGAATGGCTCCCAAATGCGATCATAAATCATAATAATAATGGCAGTGTTAAACAGCACAATGTTTTGCTCTGCCATATATTTATTGCATAAATGGAATACTGAAGTCACATACCTGTTCTTCATAACAGAATCTTGTTCAAATCTAATATAGCCTAACCAAATAGTGATTTCATTGGACTTCAGAATTAGACTGGTTGAAGTTTATAAGACTAGAAAAGATTGCAAAAGGACTTGCGGTGAATTGGGCCTCCATCAATCCGCAATGGGGTGGGGTGAAAAAATCAAAATTTCCAATAGTGCGGAAAAGTTGTCACTGGACCTCGTTATTAAACGTGCAAAATGTCTTTGAAATAGATTAATGTTTTCAGGTTCTGCAACGCGATCAAAGTTTTCACCTGTCACATCAATGCACAGATCAATGCTACGTATCATCCATATCATAACGCAATGTAAAATTGTTCCTCAGTGCCACCAAAATGAAAAGTATTAA